CTTTTCTATCGTCAACTTCCCTTACTTATGCAGCAATATACCTTCATCACCTGCATACGGAGTATTTATATCTCAGTTGATTCGATACGCAAGAGCATGCTCTACGTATGAACAATTTCTTAAAAGAGGTAAATTATTGACAAGCAAGTTGATGAAACAAGAATATCAACAGTCTCGTTTAAAGTCATCATTTCGTAAATTCTATGGTCGATACAATGACCTTGTCAGCAAATACAATTTATCATTGAATGACATGCTGACTGACGTTTTTCATACCAACTATTAGTCCATTATTTATACACTGAATTGACCACGGATTTTTTTTTGTTATTTCCTGATTATGACAACGAGCACACGGCGGGTGTGACCGGTCAGCAGGGGATGCTCACTCCTCCATGGCACCTGATCCCACCTCTGATACTTCGGAGGTCCGTGTTTGCTCTGCTCTTGTTTTGTATATTTGTTAAATGGATGTTGAGATGGATGGAGATTGAATACTGTTCGTTATTTCCATATCCTTCTCAGTTGATTTGAGCATTAGACGTGTTAATTAGGAATTATTATATTCCGTTATACAAGAGCCTGTATTCGACAAGAACCTTTATTGTCAAACACTGGTCCTTATTCTGGCAATGGTTTTTTTTTAATTAACTTCCTCCAATAATTATATCGTGCAGAGAAACGTCGTTTATAATTAGCTTATTGTATGAACAATGTCAATGAATTTCCTTACGTCTTAGTATCTTATTTAAATTCTAATCATATTAATTTTGCAATGCGCATACTCCATACATTAGGGGAAAACTCATCAAAGGGTAATCATTTCATAATTCCTTAGAGCATTTGTTAGGCAACCATTTTCAGGTGAAGTCAACTTCACTGTATCTTTTCCCGCACTAACATTTGTATAAAAATTACCACAATTATTCAAAAAATGTTTTAAGCAATAATTAAACAAGAGGCCAACGGGCCTTATAGGTCACCTGAGCATTATGCAACAACTTTCCAGTTACTGAATTTGATTCATGTTTTAAGCCAGATGCTATGGCATTCACAATTTTGAAAGAGGCACCATTGATCATCTTAACAATACACTTAGCAGTTGCTTAGCTTGGGTACTAAATATCCATACGCAGGGTAGGGAACAAAATTTCATTCCAACTAATCTATAATATTCAACAATAATCAGTAGTGCCCCTAACACTGTGACATAAACCCCTGACCCTAGGTCCACACATTGCACAAATTTTAAAAAGGCACACTTAAAACTGCCTATCAAAAAATAAATAAATGTTTTATAAATACAAAAGAGCAGATTTCAAATAATTAATTCATTTTCAGTATATAAGTAGAGCCCCCCCCCCCACCCCTGACCCTGGGGCCTTGAATTCACAATTCTGCATGACTAGGGCCCTTGCTCATCATAAATATGCACTTAGTTTGTTTATTTAATACCTAGGAGCAGAGAATAAGATTATCAAAGAATTCATGTATTTTCACTACATAATCAATAGAGCCCCCCCCCCCCTGACACCAGAACCCTTGACCCTGGGGCCACAAAATTCACAATTTTGGTAAAAGCACTCTTGCTCATCATAACAATGTACTTAGTTAGTTTATTTAATACCAAAGGCCAGAGGAGAAGATTTTCAAAGAAATGATGTATTTTCACTATATATAATCAATAGAGCCCCACCCTAACACCAGAACCCCTGACCCTGGGGCCATAAAATTCACAATTTTGATAGAGGCACTCTTGCTCATCATAACTATGCACTTAGTTGGTTTATTTAATACCCAGGAGCAGAGAAGAAGATTTTCAAAGAAATAATGCATTTTCACTATATACTTATTTAACCCCGCCCTAGCACTAGAACCCCTGACCCCAGGGTCATGAATTTCACAATTTTGGTAGAGGACTCAATGCTGATTACAATCATGCAAACAGTTTGACTGCTTGATGTCCAGGAGTAAAGAAGAAGATTTTTAAAGATTGGATTAATTTTAGCAGTTTTGGCCCCATCCCTCCGGCCCCAGGGGGGCAGGGACCATCAAATTCATAAATTGTGTTTCCCTTCACCAGTACAGGCTTTTTGCCTAAATTGGTTGAAATTGGTTCAGTGGTTGCAGAGATGAAGCTGAAAATGTTCAAATGTTAACACACGACGGACGACGGACGACGCACGACGACAGACGAAAACAGATAGCAATAGGTCACCTGAGTTTACTCAGGTGACCTAAAAAAATCAAGTTTTCAAAGAATCAAATGTAGCACTTAAACTTCCATAAAAATGGTTGAAAGTTACAAATTTATAAATTTCGCCTCCTCGGAGACTTAAAAAAAAATGCATCATTTTCTTTTGTTCAAAACAAGAAATTACAAGGGGCATATCTACTTTTTTTAAAAGCTTTATCTAAAACACGTTCTAGTTGAATGTTAAGATTATTTTGTGTAACTTTATACCGTTCATAGTAGCTAAGTCTGTAGGGTACTCGCTACGTGATCGGGAGGTCCTTAGTTCAAGTCTCGGTTGCAACTGACCTAAGTCGATAAAAATTGGGTAGTTTATTCGCCATGTGTGATAGTGAAAGTTGCTTGTCCTTTGGATGAAACCTTAAAAACCGAAGCCAAATTTCACAACAAGTAAATACGATAATGATTAAAGACCCTTACTTTACAATAGCCCCACGTGCCGAGTAAAAGTCAAAATTTGAAGGCCGTCATTGGTATATGGTAAAGTGTTTATATAGGTGAGAAATTCTCAAATTGAACGTAAAACACATACAATCAATCAATCTAATAACCTTAACAAAAAAAATACTGCACAACTTTTAACAGATTGTGAATCATTTTACATTTACATAATATTAACAGAATAGAAAAAGAATGTAAAAATAAACATTCTTTTCTAGTTGACTGACGTTTTCGTGCTGTGTCTTTCTGATAACTTTAAATTGACCTATTTCAGTAGAATACATTGACTCTTGTAAATTTAAGATGTCAGGTGAAGCTGTTATTACTTATCTTATTGTTCAACCTCAGTTACTTTGCAAATTTGAAGTTTAAATCATATTCTCAAGTTGCAATGTGTCACATATATTTATACCTTTCTGCATAAACATAATTGAGGAAACAAGTTCCATTCTGGAAGATAAAATATGAAATGATTACATATCACTGTGTCGTTGAGAAAATAAATTATTTTGTTTGTAACTTAAAAATGAGCCAAAAAACAACAACCAGAAAATTCAACTTGATTAATATTCTTTCGAATGAAAATTAAAGAGAGACCTACGGCGAAGCATGTATTATTTACAAAAGCCACATGGTTTTCATAAACAATTTGTTACAGCATCGATGCTGATTTGAATGCTTCCTTTGCTTGCTGATTTAATGCCATTAATCCTTATCCTGATGCTGTTTTATAATTAGGTCAATGCTACCAAAAAATAGCATCATGATACCTGAAGTAGATAATTGAATTTCATCATTACCATTAAAGGACTTTAAAGTGCCTTACATAATTTTTGGATCATAATATCTGACTATGTATTTATAATCGGAATGCTTTAAATAATTCTTTTCTCTATTTTCTTTTACTGAATAAACTTCATTTATACTCTGATGCTCGTAGATAAATGTTGATGTAAATAGGTCAATGCTACTTTTATATTTTTTCTTGCGGATGCTGATCCTGGTAATGCTGTTGTTTTTGGACGCTGATCCTGATGCTAGCTGGATACTGATGCTTACTTTGCTTTTGCTGATACAAATTTATGTAATAAAATTAGTTCCCTGAACTGTATTTCCAGGCGATCAACGTTTTTAGGTCTATCTAAGTGAACTTAGAAAACATCCTTTGATATAGACATTTGTCATCCAAGAATCCCGTCATTCGGTCTTCTGGTACAATACAATCGTTCCGCAATTTAAATATCATTCAGTAAGTTGTATTAATTTTAAGTTGATTTTATAATGAATATCCAAACAATTAGTGATTGAAAATAACTAGAAAAAGGTGAGGGTTTTCTCTCTAGAACATTTTATAGTTTAACCCCTTGAAAAGCTTCCATAGACTAAGGAAACGTTTCACCGGGCTGTAAGGAAATACAAATGAAACACCGACTACATAGTATTAATTGTATTGCACAAGTCAACGACTTTGACAAACTCCTTGTTTGTAAAACAAAAACCTCTTATTGAAAATACCAAGAAAAATATGTATTCTTTTTCTAAACTGTTTTTATATCAGCATATCATTAAATTGATGACAGGATGATAATGAAGCATTACATTTTCAGGACTTCACGAAGTCAGGGTTACATTTCGAATGTTAAATCGGAACAGGAATGAGACCATTAAATACTGTGAAATCACTAATTTTCTTGGGGGGTTAATTTTCGTTGTTTTCGTGGTATGAAGATACCCACGAATTTATGTCCACCACAAAATGTAAATTTTCATATGCACAACTACTAAAAAGTTCTTCATCCACGAAATCAAATCCCCATGAACCAACATTTTTTCCTCAAACCACGAAAATTTGACCCCACGAAAATATTTGATTTTACAGTACACAGGAAGTGATATTACCGCTAAAAATTACTAACCCCAGAAGAAATAACAATTCTAGTTTGTATACGTAATAAGACAAATATTTAGATGTGTGTTGAAGTCACCTTACTTTAATACATTTAGCTCTTTAAAGTTTCTTTATTGATAAGCAGTCCATACAGTATTGTGCATATTTGCTAAATTTATCCCCAGCTCATTCAAATATATGCAAACAATAGAAGTTATATATTAAGTTACTAAAATTTGATGCTTAAAAATGATTGGAATGAAACATTTAAGCGAAGATAATGACTTAAAATTCCATCCCTTTTATAATAAAACAACCAGCCATCACTTTACCAAGAAGTATCCCCTTAAAAGGACAGAATACAGCTACTACCTTTTCAATGCACATCTTTATATTTGAATGCCATCAATTTCTATGGACGTCTATCAAGCGCGTCATTCAAGTGTATCATTATATATGTGAATACTTGGTCAATTTTTTTATCTGCTTTATTTTTTCATGGATTAGAGGTTCCTTATATGTAAGTATTCTTTATTGATTAGCTACAATTTTCCCTAAGATGTACGTTAAGGGACAGGTGAATAGGGTAATTTGGGAGACAAAAGTTGTCAGTTTATAAAAAAGAACTGAAATCAAGCATGTTAAATATCAATATCTATATATGATTCATAATTTCACTTATGAACATGTAGGTTCATAAACTATATCATACAATATATCATATCACCCATTGTAATTTATTTTTCTATCTTGCCTAAGAAGGTGAAAACACAATTAGAAATATATGTCATTGGGGTATATGTAAGAGGGGGGGTCAATGTTTATATGCAAATTTTCATCAAATTTATAGCACATTTTGTTTTTAACAAAACAGAAAGTGCATGCTTGCCTCTCTACTAAATTAACAATTTTTTCTTCACTAGTATCAGATTATTCTTGTGTATAGTGTATGTTGATTGTATGTTGTCCCTCTCGAGAACTTTTCACTCAAATCGACACGTCGCCGTATGCCGGTGAAGGGCTTCAAATTTGGACCTTTACTCGGTACTCAAAGCCTTTGAGCAGTGAAGGATCTTTATCGTGTCAACGTCTGCCGTGACACGGGACCTCAGTTTTCAAGGTCTCACCAAAAGGATCAGCAACTTTCATTTCAAGTGCCAAGCGCATAGCGGAGGAACAGTTGCTGCCCATTTTTTTTATCTACTTAGGTCGGTCGCGGCCTAGATTCGAATTCACGACCATCCGATCACGAAGCAAGCACTCTACCGACTGCACCAACGTGAATGATCTTCTTGTGTATAAGAATCTCAAATAAACAAGCCTGTGCGCCATGTTTACATAGTGAAAAGTATCTAAAAGAGGTAATTCATTAACCCCATAGAATGGCCCTGTTTATAATCTAATTAACTTACGACCCAATTGTCCCATGTCTATATTCAAACATCAGAATAAAGTAGGGACTTGGTTCTTTATTTCTTTAAATAAATTCCTCTAAGAGACTAAGTTTTGAAAAGCAGTCTTTAGAAATGATGTATTTTGTACATGTACACAGTGAGAGGCTGATAAATTAAAATTTTGGACGATGAAAAATTTCTTTGATCTAAAAAAAAAATATTTGCAATTAAATAAAAAGGCCGTTAAGTTCGATGCATTGTCTATTTTAGTATTTTATTTATAAACTGTCCGTAGATTCAGCTTAAATTTGTGACCATTTTAAAATAAATTTTCGAGATTTGAGGAAAATAACTCAATTCAGAGCGTCATAATACACAGACAATAGAGAAAATTATTTTAATTTTAATTGATGATTTAATTAATTAAGCATTCAAGTGAAATTTGCCTTAATTTAAGTTAAAACTGAGCAGTGATATTTCAGAAATTAACAAGGCAAACAAGGCTCAAGTGAACCTTGTTCTTTGGCAAAATTCCCTCAAAATTGATAAAGTTTGGGAAAATGTCCAACTTTGGCACTCTCTTGTGGCCACCTTGTACTCTTTAAATCAGAATTATTCTAGGTTTCAGAAAAAGCAGGATTTAAAGTGCTTAATTACCTGCAAACTATCACAATTAAGCTGTGCTTTGATTCTTATATCAGTTTAAGGTCCATATTCGTCTTCTACCATACCTTGTCCTTAATTTTACTCGTGAATATGTTAAAATACTGCTCCATACATGAAATAAATTCCATGCTAATTACGGATAATTGATATATACATGTTTATCTCTGTCCCATTCAACGGTAAACAAATAATAGCTGTCTTATCTTTTACAGGTATATATAACAGGAGCCATTAATATCCCAGGGTAAAGGTGGACAATGAGCGGTATGATTTTATACTGATAAATAATATATCCGCTTCACATAATGTTGTGTAAAGTACTAGACTTACTTCTTTATTTTTAAAACTAACATCTACAAAACAACATCATGATAAATGTAATAATAAAGAGTTATTTAAGTGACTTTGTATCTTTTTTATGACCCCTTCCTTTTCGAGAATACACGGTACTAAATCCAGTGGTGCAGTTTCATTAAAATGTGTGGAGACCTTGGTTTGTAGAATTGATTTGAATCAAAACATTTTTTTTTAAAAAATGCAGAAATAAAAACTCGTTGACATTGTTAAATACGCAGCATGGTTAAGTCTGCATAAAGGGGGCGTGGTGTAACTTAAACGGGAAATGTTTAATGTAACATCACAAAAAATAGTTATTTCTTATAAACAGAATATCATTTACAGATTTTAGATAGGCTATCAAATACCAATAAAATCTTTATTGATGCGTTTATTCAATAATTATCGATAGGTTGAATTTAATTAATATTACCATGCTTTGGGGTACAGGTTTTGCATATCTAACATCAAGGTGCAAAATTAAATCACCCTTTCGCAATGGCATACACTTAATAAATCTTAATTATTTTATGAATATATATAAAGGACATTTTCCTTAAGGTCAGACGACACGTTCCTCAAAGATATAAATTTATATATAATTTTTTCTAAGAATTTGTCATTGATGTTAAGATACTTAAACAAGTTTCCTTACAAAAAATTAGGGTACCTTACCAGGCATTTGAACAAGATACCATGGGGTCATATTTCTTATATAACCCTTATGGATAATCTTGTGAATGGCCTTTATCACATTTTTTGTAGTTCTTATATTTAGAAACATTCTGAAAACAATGCAGAAATAAGAATAAGATGACAAATACGATAAATGTTTGATATAATACCACGAAATACAAATGATATATTTGAGGAACGTGTTGTTTGACCTTAACTTGAAAAGTGCTGCTGCGTTGTAAAATTGAGAACGTGACTTAAAATTTTCACAAAATACTTTATAAAGGTCAACTTTATTTTGACTTGAGCCATTTTTACTTGAAATTTAAACTATTAAAATTAGATTTCTATTTAAAAAAGCTGCATTTCCAGAAAGTACAAAGGAATCAGAAACAATTAATAACTTAGATTGTAAGATTTCAACTAGTGTATGCCATTGCGATATTAAAATTGGTTGATCTACATTAAGTTCATATACTATGCATTACTAATGTGACTGTCCATCGATGGGGCCAAACTTAATATAGTACCACAGTGGGTTAATCTATGTTATTTCAATACGCATTTAAGTTATGTAATAATAGAACAGTTTTATAATTTTTTTTAGATCCCATATTTACACATCTACATTCCGTTGATTTCTTCATGGTTAACATTACATTGCTGCGTAAAAGGACATTTTGATAGATAAACGTACGTGTATCAGAGCGGCATATTTATAGGTATCTATAGGTAGATGATCATAGATTACACGGTTTGTAAACTTAAGAACAATTAAGAACTAGCTCAGATTATTTAATATCGTATCGAATAAAACAAGAGGCATGGTACACATGCTTACCTGGATATTTTGGCTCAAAGAAGCTGAATGAAATCAGTTCAGTATTGCATAAATGAAAAGATCGGAGACACTTTTTGATCCTTTCTTATTCCCTCCAAACACCAACACACTTTCAACTTTTCTACTTTTATGAAATTTTTGTTTCCAGATTTTTTTTTCGTCTATATAAACAACTTTCTAATCCAATTACAATGTATCTTAGATTTCTTTTTTTTTAATACACAGGTGCAAACCTCCCGTGAGAAATTATGCAACTCATTTTGTATTGTCTGATGAGATTGATTACTGTTCGTTATCTCCATATTTTTTCTTGCTAACTCCCTCAGTGATATACTTTTACTGTATTTAAAAGGATAGTTTCTGAAATAGAAACTTGTATTTCATATTGAAGTAATGGCCTGATAGACTGAGAGTTTATTTTTATTTACAAAATTAGTGTCGAAAAAAATTTCACAAAAAAATGGGAGGTTACAACCAGAATTTTTCCAGGTGTCTGTGGGCTAAAAGTGTTGAAAAGGGAAGTTTTTTCTAATGGAATTAATAGATATATCGGGAATTTGAACTATTATTTACTCAGATATTTGCCTGTTTGGGGGATTTTTTTATATAAGTTTTTTAAAGAACAATGCATAGATATATCGTATATGTAAGTTTAAATGTAAATACAAAGGGAATTGAATTTGTATATAGTGAAATCACGTTGCTTTTCTTTCTTCTAAGCAATCTTGTTTGGTTTTGTAAAAATTTTTAAAAATGAATTAAATGTATAAAAGTGCTAATTTCGGGGCCTCCATTAAGTTTATTATTAACAGAAACATATCATGCCTTTTTCGGAACAACATCTTTAAATGACAAAAACACCAACAATATAGTCCTAAATTTATGCTCCTCAATAAATTATTATCCATGGGGATTCTGTAAGCAAAAAGAAAAACATAACAGGTACATTGTTTACGATGCTATTTTCAGGATAAGTCAAGCAATCAAATATGTCAAAAGGGGTAAAGTATATCTCTTCTCCACATTTTAAACAATAAAAACATCCGTACACACAAATATAAGATTTTATTTGATAAAACAGGAGAGGATCAAATTTCTATGGGGGACAATTGTCATGATAAGTATAGTCGTAGAATTACTGGACTGAAATGGTTTTTTACGGTCGAAAAATGACCCCACTTGTCTTAATATATTGACTTTGGGTCATTGTTCTACATGTACATAGAAAAATGACACCCTGGTCAATATTCTACGGAGATCCCTTTTTGTCGTTACACCGGCGCGCTGGGCGTGCGCCTCCTATTTTTTTTTTTGGTTGTTAACATTATGTTTGATATATCCTGAAATAGAAAGAAAAAAACTTTTTACTTGTTAGAAGTTCTTCAGTTTTCTCCAAACCCACATCAGGGCTTTGCTGTTGACCCGTTAGGGGCTTCCCTACAGTCATCGGATCATCGACCTTCTACTGCGCCCTCCATTTATTAAAATTTTGGATCTGCCTTCATAAATATAATGCATTTTTTTTTTAGATTTTATGACCTTTATTTTCGCTATTAATGAAGAATTATTTCATTGAGGCAATGAAAAAAATTCCAATTTACACATTAATTCCAACACAACCAACACTTTTTGATTTAAAACTTATTTTTGGTCCCAGAGTGCAAAACATAAATTTTTAAACGGTCTTGAAATATTTTTTTTTCAAATTTTGTTTCAGTATAAAAGAAAAGTTACAAAAAATGAAATCAAATTCTCTTTATTCCAGAACATTTAGCATGCTTCGATAAGGACACAGAGAATCAGGAGCAACAGATTCACATAGCGTCTGCATCTCATGATGTTTCAAAAATTGAAGAATTGGTCAAACAAGGTGCGGACGTCAATATATTTACTGATGATAATGTTTGGACTCCTTTAAAGTTGGCTACAGCAGCTAATAAAGAACACTTACAAAATGCTAAAAAAGAGATCCAAGGAGAAGAAAGAAGAATAAAAACTATTCTTTGCTTATTGATTCATGGGGCAGACATCAATCGTTGTGGAAATGATGGAAACAGTCCACTCTATATAGCTTGTGAAAAGGGAGATGACAATGCCGTAAAGCTTTTATTGACTGGAGGCGCAGAAATAAATCAATGTAATGAAAACGGAGTAAGTCCGCTCTATATAGCTTGTCAAAATGGACACGAAAGCATAGTTAAACTTTTACTAAAAAACGACGCCAATATTAACTTATGTGACTGCAGAAAAGCAAGTCCCCTATGGAAAGCTTGTCAAAATGCACATGTTAGCATTGTACACCTCTTACTTAGCTTAGAGGCCGACTTCAGTTCCTGTAATGAGAATGGAGTAAGCCCCCTTCATAAAGCCTGCCAAAATGGCAACGACAGCTTGGTTCAACTTTTATTGAGCAAAGGTGCCAACATCAACATATGCACAAAAAGGGGAAGCAGTCCTTTGTTGATTGCTTGTAACAATGGACATGAAAACACAGTCCGACTTCTCCTTAACAAAGGTGCTGATATCAATTTATGTAACATCAATGAAGTTAGTCCTCTTTGGATAGCTTGTCAAAATGGACATAGCAAAACGATACAACTTTTAATTAATAACGGAGCCGATATTGATTTATATGACAACTTTGGAGTCAGTCCTTTGTGGATGGCTTGTCAAAAGGGACTTGATAGCATAGTAAAACTTTTACTGGACAGCGGCGCCAACGTCAATTCATGTGATAACGCTGGAAACAGCCCCCTCTACATAGCATGTGAAAAGGGACACAATAGCACAGCACACCTTTTACTGAACAAGGGCGCCAATATCAACTCATGTTACAACGATGGATTCAGTCCGTTGTTTATAGCTTGTCAAAATGGACACGAAAGCACAATACAACTTTTACTTGATAATGGCGCAGACATAAATTCTATCAGTAAAAATGGGGGGATTCCTTTGTGGATAGCATGTGAAAATAGACATAACAATACAGTACAACTTTTGTTGAACAACGGTGCAAACATCAATACAAGTACAGGCAATGAAGTTAGCCCTCTGTGGATAGCATGTAAAAATGGAGATGACAGCATGGTACGACTTTTACTTGAGAATAGGGCCGACATAAACTTGAATAAGAACAATGGATTTAACCCCCTTTACATAGCTTGTGAAAATGGCCATGAAAGCACGCTACAACTATTACTAGACAACGACGCCAGCATCAATTCACGTGACAAAAAAAGAGAAAGTCCCCTCTTCATAGCTTGTCAAAATGGACACGAAAAAATAGTTAACCTTTTACTGACTAATGGCGCAGATATCAATGCATGTAACAAGAATGGCATCAGTCCCCTTTATATAGCTTGTGAAAATGGGCATGATAGCACGGTAGAACGTTTACTGAACAACAGTGCCGACATTAATTTATGCAACAAGCTTGGCGTGAATCCCCTTTACATTGCTTGTCTTAAAGGGCATGACAGCATAATCCGTAAGTTATTGAAAGGAGGTGCCGAAATTAATGTTTCTTCTAATGATGGAGTCAGTCCTCTGTGCATAGCTTGTCAATATGGATATAACAGCACAGCCAAACTTTTATTAAAAAACGGCGCCGACGTCAATTTGTGTGACAAAGATGGAGTAAATCCTCTGTTGATAGCTTGTCAAAATGGACATGACTGCATAGTCCAACTTTTACTAAATAATGGCGCTGATATTAATTTCTGTTCGAGGAGCGGTGTCAGTCCTCTCGACATGGCATATAAAAAGGGACATGACAGCACGGTACATCTTCTTCTTAATAGTGGTGCCAACAAACATTCAATCTGAAATTTTAGATTTAATTCTTAGCTCGCTTGTCTCACATACCGTAATGAAAAAGGAATTTTTAAAGTAAATGTGATTAAACAATTGAGGTATGGATGGAAGATGTATTATCCATATATAAGTGTAAACAATTTCATTGATTCAAAATTTGCAGACTTTCGCTATATCAAGATAACATTTTATCATTTCCTTTTTTTTTACCAGTGAAAATATATTGTTTTAATAATCCTTGAAACATAGGTCAAAGACCTTGTACAGATTATCAAAATATGGGTTTTTGATTATGGGCATGAATGATTGTTAAATGTGAAAGGCATGTACGTATCATTTGCATTTTTAAGCATATATATGAAGATCATTGTTACAGTAATGAAATACAATACATTTGTAAATACTCTTAGTTAAAAGGTATGGTATACATTAACCTGATACAACATATCTTAACATTATTTGTTTTTCAATCATTACAAAATACTTTCTTTGTTCATTTAATACTAACTTTTATGCATTAATTTAAAATCAATGTACCAAGAAGGAAAAAGCAACAGGACTCGGGATTAATTCCCTTTATATTGTACATGAATATGAGGTATGATGAACAATGCTTTCCTTAAGGATTTTTCTTTGAGGATTCATCTCGCTTTACCTTAATGCCAACACATCCATCCTCTTGAAAAGGACACGGTCTAAATTAAAGAACTTTTGTTGCTACACCATATAAGAACTAGAGCTGCTGCTAAAGGTAAGAAGATTGCTTTTTCTAAGTAAACGATGTCTTGAAAGTTTAAAACGTGATACAGTAAATACTGTATATTCAAGCATACATGCAATCTGTTTCACTGTGAATACCGACGTTAACTCTCATTTTCACTTATGTTCCTTCCAATATCTTGTCTTTTCCTGTATAAAATTTGTTTCCTATTGCATGATAGATTATAGAGTTCATATTGTACATTCCATCCAAATGTGTATAACTCCTCTCTATCTGTCTCCATGACACGGCAAGTAAGAAAAAATGAATCACTAAAAACATGTTGATCAAACAATAAATCAATCGTACTTTCATTCTTTTCATAGCGTAACTTGCCATTGTCTGTCTATTTATAAAAGTGACATATTGTTAACATGAGACTTTAGCAACATTTAAAAAAGTGCACTGGGGTTTTGTATAGAAATACAGTAGAGTGTAATTAATCTTCAAAAGTGTATCAAATGATAACAAATGATAAATGTTTAACTTTTTAAGTGTATAATTTACCAAGAATTGAAATAATTAAGCTTAAAATTCGTGAAAAAATGTGAGTTTATTAATTCATATTTATATGTTTATGATAAACAATTAGATGTTCAGATTTCATGAAAATATAGAAATGGCATTCTTTTTACATAAGAGTGTAGCAGCGCTTATATGTGTACGCTGGTGTTTTGAATGGCATATTTTCTTTTAAAGGCTGATTTCAAGCTTAAACATGTTCTTAGGATCTAATTTTTTAAAATGTATCATTCCAGCAATCCTTATCAAAAGTTAAAAGGAGGAACCTGAATTTTATCCTAATCTGGATGTCTGTCAACCGAATGGTGAATTGAGGAGAAGAAAGGTTTTTAGACTTAGGATTCGACAAGTATTTAATATCTTCGAAAATGATCTCTGTTGGAAAAAAATGATCTCCATATATTTGATATTTTGATTCATATTCATTCAAATTCATTTTACATTATGCAAGTTAAAATGCATATGGTACATAAAGTTTTACACAAAAAGTAATAAGCTTGGACCTCTCTTTCAGAAGAAGTGCTTGACAGACTACAACACAGTTGACGAGACACGTGGCTATGGGGAAGAAATGGCAAGATTAATAGATTTATAAATATTCATTTCTTTTTAAAGAGTTTTAATATCTATTAAACTTAAAGACATTGGCAACGTTTCTGGTTTTCGTATAGAATTTTCAACATTTTTTTAACAGATTTAATGGTACCAAGCATGTTCAATTCAGGTCCTTTTTAGCAATCAAGCTAGCCTTCCTTTATAGAATTTGTCAAATCAATGTTTTTACAATTAATATTCAATGCATTTCCTATGTAAAATTGGCACTTTATTATTTTTAACCATAAGTTTTCTCCAAAAACCATTTATTTCATAAGGTTTATACTTAAAATATATTGTTGAAACTTTTTTTACCGTTGACATGCACATACTTTGGCTGAAAATTCAAATATTGAAACAAAACACGGAAATACAATACCAGCACTGTTCTTTAATTTTGAGTTACTTCCCTTAACATTTAATTCTTATTCATAATGATCAGGAGATTTGTTGTTTGTTTCTATTCCGTAGTTTTCTTTCTTGTAAAAGAACTCTCATTAAACATTTTTTGCAAGGATTTACTAGTAACTGTTAATGGTGCCTCCTTCACATAACCTATAGAATCAGTTCTCGTCCGGTCAACCTGGCTATCACCACTTTCAGCATAATTATTTCACATCTTTGCACTTCCCAGCATTCATGTACCTATTCTAAATGACAACTTGTTGACTGTCTGACGCCTCAGCACATTGTTAGCTCACCTGAGCCGAAGGTTCAAGTGAGCTTTTCTGATCAAAATCTGTCCGTTGTCTGTCGTTGTCGTATTCGTTGTCGTTGTCGTCGTCGTCATCGTTGTCGTAAACTTTTCATATTTTCATCTTCTCTTCAAGAACAACTGGGTCAATTTCAACCAAATTTGCTACAAAGTATCCTTGGGTAGAGGGGATACAAGTTTGTTCAAATGAAGGGCCATGCCTTTTTCCAAAGGGAGATAATTGTGAATTAGAGATGAATTAATGGCATTTTAAAAAAAATCTTCTCAAGAACCACTGGTTCAGGAAAGATGAAACATGTGGATTATCCACAGGTAGTGTAGATTCAAGTTTGTTCAAATCATGACCCCCGGGGCTAGGATGGGGTCAAAATGACCGATCAAAGTTTTACATTGGAAGATATAGAAAAAATCTTTAAATATCTTCTTCTCAAGAACCACTGGGCCAGGAAAGATGAAACGCATGTGGAATCATCCTCAGGTAGTGTAGATTCAAGTTTGTTCAAATCATGACCCCCGGGGCTAGGGTGGGGCCAAAATGGCCGATCCAAGTTTTACATAGGGTAATAAAGGAAAAATCTTTAAAACTCTTCTTCTCAAGAACCACTGGACCAGGAAAGATGAAAATTATGTTGATTTATCCTCAGGTAATGTAGATTCAGGTTTTTTCGAATCATGACCCCCGGGGCTAGAGTGGGGTCAAAATGGCCGACCCAAATTTTACATAGGATTATATATAAAAGAAATCTTTTATAATCTTCTTCTCAAGAACCACTGGACCAGGAAAGATGAAACGCATGTGGAATTATCCTCAGGTAGTGTAGATTCAATTTTGTTCAAATCATGACCCCTGGGGCTAGGGTGGGGCCAAAATGCCGACCCAAGTTTTACATAGGGATATATACGGATACCTTTTAAAATCTTCTTTTTAAGTACTTCAAAGCCATAATTAGTGATATTTATATGGAATCATCCTCAGGTAGTGCAGATTCTAGTTTGTTCAAATCATGAGCAACTGGGTGGGGTGGGGGTAAAATTCAAGCCCCCCCCCTCTTCAGTAAACTTTCAGTTCTGATATGTGCTTTTTCCTAGTCGATGTTCTCAGGTGAGCTATGTGGCCCCTGGGCCTCTTGTTAACAAACCCATCGCTGTTTTTTCTCTTATTACTGTACAGTTGAATATACCCGATAAAAACACGTGCTTTTGTTTACCTCTCAGTCAGTAACATATGCTTTATTTCTTTTCAGCGCCTAGAGAATTCCATTCGGGATCTCAATGACTTTTTTCATAAGTGAAAAAATCTATGTATAAACCTTTTTTCTCCGGAAAGCCTGCGTTGCCAATGACCTTAAACTTTGTAAAAGTAGAATCTAAAAATAGGTTACATATTTCAAAGCTCTATTGTTACATCATACATTATATTTGAACCTGTTATTTTAATTATCATTTTCATTATTATAACTTCTGAATACAAAGGTAAGGGTGGGTAGGAATTATTTTGTCTTCTTTTAGGTCAATTAAACGGAAGGCTCATTTGAGCTTTTCTGATCAATATTTGTCCGTTGCCTTTCATTGTTATCGGTGTCGTTTTAACTTTTCTCATTTTTTCATTTTCATCTTCTGCTGCAGGACTGCTGGACCGATTTCAACCAAACCTGTAACAAAGTTTTCTTGGGCAAAGGGGATTCAGGTTTGATCAAATGAGAGGCCACAACGTCTTCCAAATGGAATATTATTGCGAATTAAAGGACAAAGAAGAAGGTATGGTTTGTTGTCATCAATAAATTTTTAAACTGGTTTAAATATTAGTTAAGTATATGACTGTTATAAAGAATATGGCACACTGGGTTACCAATGTGGAAAAATGACGTCATTAATGTGATGCATTTCTGTATTTTTAACAGAAAAAAACTCAACTTAGCAAATTTCAAGGGTAATTTTCCATTAGAAAATAGTATCCACAGCCGTCGCCCATTTTAACTGTTATTATATGTTGTGCCAAAAAAACGATAAAAATTACATATCTTTAAATCTTTGTGGGCGGTGCCTGTGGACAATGTTTTCTGAAAGAAAATTCCATTGAAAATTGCTGCCTTCTGCATCTTTTAAAGAAATACGGGAAAATGTACATGTTGATGACGTCACAATAAGCAATTTGAAACGCATGTGAGAAAATGATTTGTATTATTTTCTGCATAAAATTTTAATGATTCAGAAAGCATTAGTTTTCTTCATCTTTTACACCAGTTTCATTTTTTAGAAACCACATGGCAAGATTTGTATGGAAACCATACCTTGTTCTTATGACATCTTTTAAAAATCTTCTTTTCAAGAACCACTGTGTTTCAAAATAAGACACTTGTTTGGAAAATTCCTCAGGTAGAGTAGATTCACGTTTATTTTTTTTCAAATCATGTCACCGAGGGGTAGGATTGGGCCACAGTAGCGATCAAAGTTTAACATAGGAGTGTGTGTTGAAATATTTAAAAATCTTCTTTTAAAAAACAGCAAAGCCTTGATTGGTGATATTTATAAGAAGGTATCATCAATCAGTGTAGATTAAATTCAATTCAATGCATGACGCCTCGGGGTAAGGTTGGCCACAGGAGACATTCATAGTTTTACATAGGTATATATTTGGCCATTCTCCAAAAATCTTCCCAGAAACTGCAAAGCCATGGTTGGTCAATTTTTTATGCAAGCATGCTCAGGTGGTGTAGATTCAAGTTTGTTCAAATCATTGCCCCCGGGGCTAGGCTGGGTTCACAGTAGATGTTCAAATTTTTACCTATGAATACATTGGGAAAATCTTCAAAACCTTATTATACAATATTGACTCAGTAAGTTGAATTGATTGGGTAAAAGAAATAATACCTATGAATACTCTCCCTATACAACAGGTCAATGGAAAGAGTGTTCTAGATTCGCGGAGTAATACACGAATACTAGTAGATAAATTCGCAGAATTGTTAAGGCATTCGTTGACAAAATAAATGGAATTTATTTGTGCAAAAAAAGGAAACTTATTAAACCTGAACTTATTTTTATAAAGCACTTTTTTCATAACATAACCTAAATAATTGTTGAAAGAGCATAATATACCCCAATCTGTAATGAATTGATTTTGTTCCTATCAATTGACAGTCACATGATAAATGCATAGTATGTGTATAAAATTAAAAATTTTAGTTACTATTTGTTTCTGAATACTTTCTGCTGCTTTAAATAGATATGCATTTCATTAGTTAAATTTTGAAGTAAAAATGTTCATGACCAAATATGCTTGATCTTTACCAAGTTTTTGTATGTCCTAAGTACGTTACACTCTCGATTTAAAGAAAGTAGCAGCACTTTTCAATTTAAGTATTTATATTCAAAACAATTGTTTACATCTATAAAGTGTATGCCCTTGCGAAAAGGCATTTTATGGTATACAATCCCTACTAGCAACAGATTCAATGAAATTAAATACGAAAATATGTTAAAGTGTGAAATATTCTTATATTTAGACATAAATCCAATATATTACTGTTAGCCACTCTCTACCATCGGCTCATACATTTACCGCTATCGTTGGCTCGCGTATACCACAGTGATAAACACAAGAAATAGTGCGTTTGTTTTAATTCATTATTATTTAATTTTTATGTTTGTGTTTAACCTTTGAGATAGATAATTACTAAACTAATCCAAAAC